TGCCGTCTCAACCAGGATGCTGCTGTTGCCAGACTGGGCACCAAAAATACATCCTTGAGCCATTATTTGCATGGTCTAGTATTGACTTATATCACTGACACCATCTCCCCTATCTATCTATCTATCTATCTATCTATCTATCTATCTATCTATTATCTGTCTATTTATTATCTATCTTCTATCTATCTATCATCTATCTATCTACCTATCTATCCCATTTAGGCTTCTAAATTGTTGCTCACTGACAGATCCTGATGGGATTCACTTTGTCTATACAAATAGAGCATGCTCATTTCACTAATATCATTCCCTAGTGTACTTTACAGAACTATTACATATTTATTTAGATCCCTTAGTGCATGCGTGTGTGCATGTGCCACCATGTGGTGTGTGGAGGTCAAAGGACAGCATTTGGAGTCAGTTCTCTCCTTCTACCATGTGGGTCCTGAGCCACCTAGCTGTCTCTGGTGTACATTTTTAAGGTAGGAAAACTAGTAATTATGAACAGATGGGTTGAATATTATTTCCTGGGACGAGAGGTTGGCAGCCGGTTCCTGGCCTCCCGATCTCCCCACTGTTGCCTCTACTCCTTCCTACCCCACCTCCAGGCCCAGCTTCCTAGCCACCTGACCTCTGCCTACGGTGGGGACCTGAGTGAGTCCAGGGATAAATGCTAACTTTGGTCAGTCCTAAGATTTGCACGTGTGGAAGGAAGGTAACTTTGGATTGAGGCTACTTAGGAATTTATCTTCTTTAAATCCAGCTCAAGGTCTTAGAATGAAACTTGACTGACACTGGGAAGAGAGTATTTATTCTGACTTCTCACTATACTAGACTAGAGTAATTCTTCAGAATCCAAAGGTCTTAGCCAGTGTTCTATTGCTGTGAAGAGACAGCCTGACCAAGCCTGACACCCTGACTACAACAACTCTGATAAAGGGAAGCATTTAACTGGGGCTGCCTTACAGTTTCCTTACAGTTCCCGAGGTTTAGTCTGTTGTCGGTATGGCAGGAAGCATGGCAGCATGCAGGCAGACATGTCTGGAGGAGCAGCTGAGAGTTCTACATCCAGGTCTTCAGGCAGCAGGGGGACAGTGGGGGGAGGGGGAGAGGGGGAAAGAAGGAGGGGGAAGGAGGAAGGAGGAGGGAGGGAGGGAGGGAGGGAGAGGGGGAGGGAGGGACTTGGAATGGGCTTTATAAAACCTCAAAACCCACCCCCAGGGACACACTTCCTTTAACAAGGCCACGCCTCCCAAGCCCTCCCAAGTAGTACCACTCACTGATGACCAAGCATTCAAACATATGAGCCTGTAGGAGCCATTCTTATTCATACATATTCAAACCACCACACCAAGTGAGAAAAATCCAATGCTGCACAAGCTTAGAGAGTCTTTTGACCCCGCACAGGTCCTATGCTCTCCTGACTCTCCTGCTTGGTCACTCCCACATGCCCGAATCCAATTTCAATCCTATCCTGCAGGCTGGTGTGCCTGAGAACCTCTGTGTCCACAAGTCTCTCCAGAGCTGCAGGAGTCACACTAAGTGGACATTGTCATGAAAATTCCTTCTCTAGGTTACAGGTTTATACAATTGATTTTTTCCCTATGTAGCTTATATGTGTAAATAGTTACCCTAAGTTATAGCCAATCTTTTTTACCAGGCCACAGAGTATAAATTCTTCAGAATCATCACTTATTTATTCATTCAAGCTATCTATTAAGGGGTCAACAAGATAACTCAGTGATAATGGTGCTTATAGCCAAGCCTGATGATGTTCCAAGTTTGATCAGCAGGAAACACATGGTGGAAGGAATCAACTCCTACGAGTTGTCCTCTGATCTCCACACATATGTGATGGCATGTGTGAACCCCTATCTCTAAATAAATAAAATAAAATTTAATCTATGTAATGTCTACTCTATGAAAAATTATGATGGAGTCAACAGTCATCAGCTACTCTGTCTTTGGCCCAACCCTTAAGATAAACTGGATGCATTCTCCGAAGCTATTATAAATGCTGAGCAAATATAAGACCTTTGACCGTAAGAGAAATGCAGAATTAGGTTCCCAAGACCTTCTGGTCATAATATGATCATCACCTGATTAATTCATAATCATTTCTAACAGCGGTTTCAGTTTTTAAAACACCTTATATATAATAACTTACATAACATACACAGTTTGCTTCATTGAAATGGAGGTCATAACTAATAGCACTGCGCCAAATGTCTGGACAAACTTATCTAACTCACTGGTTTGTCTGTAAGGCATATGTCTGTCTTCTTGAGTTTAGAAGCAGTAGATAGTGTTTTAACGTCACAGCACTAAACAGTGATGCTACCAACAAATCTACATAGGTGTGAAAAGACCCTCACTAAACAGAGTGCAAAAAGACCACTGGTTGGGGTCCGTGAGGACTGATGGAACAAAGCAAGGCAACCCTTCATTTGGCCTCAGCTGGACACACGCATGTTGAGTGCCGTGGCTTATCCCATTCTGTGTATGTCAAGTGACCAAGAAAACACAGTCATCATCTGCAGCTTCCTGGTAAATTTGGGTGAGCAGGCTGGTTCACAAATATAGAATCTTTGAGTAGTGATAATACCATATACCTTATTTAAAAGGTTATGCTTGAAAAATCAATTAAAGCTAGAACCTCAAAAATGATTAATGAGTCTCATTTGGCTTGGCATGGTGCTGTAAACCTGTAATTCCAGCACACAGGAGGCTGAGACTAGAGGATTATTGGGTATGAAGTCAACCTGGGCTAGCTACAGTGTGGAAACCAGTCTCAACGAATACATAAATAAATAAATAAGCAGGTCAATAAATGACAAAGGTATCATTTGTGCTGTGCTTTTACGATAACAATGGAGGTCTTTGTTTAACAGTGTCCGTTTGGACTTTAGCAGGCCATTGATTACCTGTGTGGCACACACTTTCTCTTGGGCTCCTTTGTCACACTGGGCTACTTTGCTATCCCTAGTTCTTCAAAGGCGAATGTTCTGTTCTCTTTCTTCCAGTTTTTCTGAATGCTAAGAGGCCATGAGTGGGATCCAATCTGTCCTTGTCTTGGAACCCAGAGTTTCCAGGTAAATTTCTCTGCTTCCTGCAGGGGGTGCAGGGCTTCCAGAGTGAGTCTATGGTGGGAAGGTGTTGTTAATGTGACCCTGGATTCCTCCTTGGCTTTTGGGAAGACTCTTAGCACCATTGCTGCCCTCATTCAGCTGGATTAGGCACAGCATCTCAGGGGAGCTCACAACTGTAAATAAAATGAGATTTTGCAGCATCAAGAGGCCTTTGCTTCATTTTTCTTCTTCTCATCTCTCTGTCTTCAGATTCTCACTCATATGAAAATAGCAAAACGCTAGTAATGCTATAAAATTGTTGGGGAATGTTCTAGCAATACTGAAGTAAACATGTATACACTTTCTGGTTTCTGGAGTGCTCTTTCTCTTCTTATGCCCATAAGTCACAATAATTTACAGGTACTGAGTTCACTATTTTCTTTATCAAAACCAAGATTTTAGGTATGTCAAGTTATTGACAGCCCATATTCCATAAGACAATAGTTCAAATGAAACAGCATCAGCAATGAGCAGACAATGAATACTTAGTGTCTTTCACTACAGCAGATAGATGGGTAAAGTTAAGTCACCGTTTACACCCTTGCAGATGCCATGAGAACAGTGTACCTTGAGTAATGTTACACAGGCTTCCACATTTTGTTTTTGTCTTTTTTTTAAGCAAAGTATTTGCTTCTTGGCAATCTCACAGTAACTTCTTTTGGCAACAAAGAACCCAAAGGGAAAGCTATCATTTTGAATGTTTCCTTTGGGTAATCTGGAGCTATGGAAAAGGGAAAACAGTCAGGCTTTGATTTGAGTCTCAAGCTCCATATTTAAGCTTGGTGTTTAAGGTAAGTGGTGTGACCTCTTGGAAATTTAGTGTCCTCTTGTCAAATGGCAGTAACTACTTCACCTGCACTTTTGTGAGGGTTGGATTCGGTCTTTTATGGAAAAGCTCCATTCCTGGGGTTCAGATACATGGGTGATGACCGTAGCAGTTATAAATATCCCCTTCTATGGGTTCCCAGTGGGCAGGATCCCACTGAATTTTTCCCATAGCCAAATTCTCTCCTAGACATTTGGTTGGTTGGTGATTATTGTCAGTTTGGCACAACCTAGAGTTACCCAGTAAGAGGGAATCTCAGTTGAAGATTGCCTCATCAGATTGGCCTGTTGCCATGCCTGTGACAGATTGTTTTGATGGATGAATGGTGTAAGGGGGTCTAGACGCCACCATGGGTAGCACTGTTGAAGATGAAGGTTTCTGTCCTGCCCTTCAGCCCCAAATAAGTACATAGAGATGTATTAATTATAAAATTGTTGGCCGATTGCTAGGGCTTCTTAATGGCTAGCTCTCTCTTAATTATTAACACATTTCTATTAATCTAAGTATTTGCATGTGGTCTTATCTTACTGGATAAGGGTCCGGACCTGCTACTCCTTCCTTGGCTATATGGCGTCTTCTCTCTGCCTTCCTCTCCCCAGCCTTCTCCTGATCTGGTAGTCACACCTATGCTTTCTGCCTGACTATTGGCCAAATAGTGTTTTATTCATCCACCAATAAGAGAAACATATATACAGAAGGATATCCCCCATCACACTGTGCCTAGGTAGGTTGGCCTGGGCTGTCTACAAAACCTAGATGAACATATAAGTGAGTCAGTAAGCAACCTTCTTCCTACTTCCAAGTTCCTGCCTTGAGTTCCTGCCCTTACCTCCCTCAGTGATGGTCTGTAACCTGGAAGTATACACTAAAACAAACCTTTTTTTCATCTAGTTGCTTTTTGTCATGGTGTTTATTGCAGTAACAGACAGCAAACTGGAATACATTTTTATGTGTAGATCTCTACTGAAAAAGGGTAAAGGTACAATAATACGTATTGTCTTACTTTTCTCACTGAAGTGGAAAAAAAGACACATGATTAAGACAACTTAAAGGAGAAAGGGTTTATTTGGGCTCAGCCCATTGCGGTGAGTAAGTTCTGTCAGCAGGAGTTTGAGGCAGCTCGCCACATCCCACCCACAGTTAGGAGGCAGAGCACATAAATGCTTTTGCTCAGCTTGCTTTCTCCTTTTCATTCAGGTTGGGACCCTGGCCCATGGAGTCACTCACATTCAGGGTGAGTCTTTCTATCCTAATTACATCAATTTAGAAATGCCCTCACAGACCTGCTCAGAGATCTGTTTACATTGTTACTCAAAATCTCATCAAGTTGACCATCAAAACTAACTACCATCGCACATATTTCTACCCTAAGGGAACTTATGACGTAGCAAACTTAACCAGAGGAGACTGTAGTTATTGCTAACAGAGTCCAGTTTTAGTCACAAAGGAATAGTCTTCACAAAGCCAATCCCAGAAAGTTTCATTTCTCCAGAGATCGTATTGTGGTACATTTTTCTCCAAGTTTTCTCTTCTCTTCTCTTCTCTTCTCTTCTCTTCTCTTCTCTTCTCTTCTCTTCTCTTCTCCTTCTCCTTCTCCTTCTCCTTCTTCTTCTTCGTCTTCGTCTTCTTCTTCTCCTCCTCCTCCTCCTCCTTCTCCTTCTTCTTTAATCTACTGTATTATGCCAGAAGAAACTCATGACATGTTGTAAGCTTAATTAAGTTCAATTTATTAACACAATTAGAGCTGTGAACAGATTTATTGACACAGCCAGAATCACTTAGTAACAGGCAGTACGCCATAGACTAAACAATTCACTTTTGCAGGCCTTGAAACTCTAGAAAGGAAAGCTGGAAATGGTGTCTTCAGTTCCTTGGCTCAGTTGTGGGGACCTGACCAGAGGCTGCCACTCATTATGTGTTCATGCTTCAGGAATGGTTCTTAGGTCTGTTAGAGAATAGGTTGGATCCTCTTGAAAACCACTTTCCATTTTATCGTGCAGATTTGATGCATAGGGACTTGATTTTAGCTTAGCTGAGCTGGTCTATCTCAAAGAGGAGACAGAAGCTCTTGCTTTTCTAGAAAAGACTAAGAGGACGTGGCAGAATAAGAGCCTAAGATCAGCTGCCCTTCTGTTTGGATCGCTTCTTCCAGCTTGACGGCCTCTTCTGCCTCTGGAATTGTTTTGCCTGAACAAATGAAGGTGAAACCCAGAGTAAGTATGTGAGTGAGCTGTTACCAAGGAAAACTTGGAGAACCTGAAATAAACTGATGATTTTCCTTTGGATAAAAGTGAATCTTCCAGGTATGATGGTACTCTCCTATGATCCTAGCTCTTGGGAGGTAGAGGTAGGAGGACTAGGAGTTCAAAGTCAACCTCTGCCTGCATAGGAAATTGGACTCATGAAACCCAGGCTCCAACAAACCAAAACCCAAACCAAAAACCAACTGAGTCTTTCTCCAGGCACAGAATGTATTTTAAAGGTTTGTTTATTTATTTGATTTTTATGTATGTATCTGTGTGAGTGTGTGTGCACACTAGAGAGATTTGGGTGTCCTTACTCTCTACATGTTCCTTTGTGACAGGGACTCTCCCAAATCCTGGGCTCAAGCTTTCTCAGATAGGCTAGAAGACAGCTAGTCCTAGCAATCTAGCCTTGGAGCTAGAGTTCTAGGCATGTGCAGATGGGACATCCACATCTGGCTGTCACATGGGTGCCAGCACCCAAACTTCCACTTCACAATTGCATCCGCATGCCTTTAACTGCTGAGCCATCTTTCCAGCATCTAAAGGGACAGAATCTTTGGTTCCAATAAAGCATCACTATTTTCAACAAGACAATTTAAAAACCTACTTTAGATGGCAGAGTTTGCTAATTCTCCATCTAGAGCTGTGCACTTCTCTAAACAGTTAGTTGACAGTGCTGGAAACCTGATTCAGAAAAAGTTCCATGCATGTGTTTGATGACACCTATGTTTTCCAATGTGGGTTTACTTACGGCACTAAGCAGAGTGGTGTCCAGAGTCTTAGGAAATCTGCCTGGGTCTACATCCTGCACTCTGCCCTTTAGGTTTGCTGACTGGGCTGACCTAGGTCGTGCTTTCAGTGTTTCTGTGCCTTTGGTGCAGCTCTTCTGAACAGAAACACTCTCTTGGAGGGAGGCAGAAGATTAAAAAAAATTACAGGATTCAAGGACCCCAACACTCAAGATTGTGCAAGAAGGAAACAGCTTCTGAGAGACACTTCAACCCAGCTGCTTGCAAGTTGGGCAGAAAGCTCTGGAGATCAGCTTTGGTGAACCAACACCAAGATGGGATGGCTTCCCCTGGGTAGAGCTGCGGCAGTCTTGTGTTGCTGGAACCAGCCCCCACAGGCTCACCGGTTCACTGGGCAAGGCTTGGATGGGATCTTCTCTTTGGTCTGTTACATTCTCTGTCCAAGGTGAATGGATGTTTGTTCATGTCTCTCTCCCCAGGGAAAGTCACAGGCTCACTTGCCATTATCTACAAAAATGACCAACAAAGGGCTGAGGTCACAGCTCCGGGACAGAGCACCTGTCAATCTTCTTCCTGGAAAATAATATATAAATAAATATCCAAATAACAGTGTCTTTCATGGATATTTAAGTTTGAAAAGCAATGATAACTTCAAGTGTTACGGCTCTGGGGGGGAAAGGTACCCTGACTGTGGGAAGTCAGGCTGTTCCTGCAGCTCTAAAGGGAGGTATCCTGGATACCTACAGCTGTGAGGAGAAAGGTATCCTGACTTGGCGGGAAGTCAGGCTATCCCTGGAACTATAGGTTCTATAGGGTGATGGTCGCCTTGCAGGATGTAGCAAACCTGCTCCTCTTCAAGAGAGAGCTGCTACAGCTGAGCTCTACTCCACTCGGCTCCCCCGAGGGAGTTTCCCAACAGAGATGTCTGTTTCTTCTCAGCCAGCTCTGGCCCAAGTTGGTAATTTTGTGCTTCACTCTGCTAAGGGAGCAACCCCTGCAGAACTGTAAAAAGTTGTTACTTCTGCTCTGTTCACCTAAGGGAGTTTCCCAGCAGAGATTCTGCTCTGCTCACCTAAAACTCTTTCAAGGGATTTATTTGGGAAGGAAGGACCCAGGAGAGTGGCTGCCTCTGTCAGGGTGGAGAAGGGCAGCTGTCAACTCAACAGGCACAGAGCTTATATAGGGCTTTTTAGGGGTGGTGTTTTTCCAGGAAGAATATTATCAGGGTGGGAATCAGTCAGATCTCAATCCCCTAAACTTGACAAACTCAGAGATTGGTTAGATTTGTGCTCTGAGATTGGTTGGTTTCATGCTTAGGGATTCATTGGTTTTGTGCTTAGATGGTCAGGGGCAGATTTGGTTCTGGTTTCAGGGCTAAAGTGTGTATCTTTCACTGGCTCCTTTTAACCCTTTGGATCTAGTTTCAGGGCCAGGGTGTGTTTCTTTGGCTGGCCCTTTTACCCTTCATTAACAACCTTCAGACTAGCTATCAGCTGGTACTCACACAAAGGGAGCAGTTATCATCAGACACGGCGTACTGTCAACCCTGTTTCTCCCACGGAATAACTTTCTCTTCCCCACACCTAATAAGAATCCTGCGTTTTTGGCCACTTCCCAGATGATCTCTGTCATTTGTCCAGTAAGTATTTGTATGTGCAACAAGCTTGTGTATTTGCAACCTAGGAGATTTTGAAGGAACACTCTCTCTTTTAACATAGTCTTACAATCTTCCCTTGACATACAGTGTGGCTCCGTGAAGAGCAGAGAGGGAGGATCCCAGAAGGAAAGTAGACATGCAGTCTTGGACATTTACAGATGCACAGGGAAGTGAACCCAGACACTTAATGTTGATGCTGCATCTCTAATGGAAGCGATCAGCATAAGATGCCCAAATGGTTAAGTGAAGATGCAAGTTGCTAGGTTGGGCCTCACAAAATGCGGGAAACAGATGCTTTTTGAGGCAGAAGTCAGCTGGTAGGCTCCATGCTGAATATTTGTGGGTCACAGCTGAACCTGAGCAAGGATGGTGACAGTAAGTGAGGCAGACAGCACCTGTATCTCAGGAGCAGACAGGTGCCATCATCCTGGAGAAAATTCAAGGAGGATCAATAAAAATGATTAAGGGACTTGGAGAATTGATTTTTGAGAAGAGATTAAGAAAAATAAATGTGCATCTTGACACATAGCCCGGGAGGAATATGATAACTGGGTGGTCCATTGATGTACCAGATGCTGACGAAAAGACACTCACCAGGCATGTGGAGACAAATTCCCTAACAAGGTATCTGGGGACACCGTTTCCCCGAGAAGTGGTGGAAAACCCTGTCCCAGAAGCACCAGCCACTCAGGTGGACAGATGTTTCCTGAATTTTGCTGGCAGGCCAGAAAAATGCACAAGACCACCACATATTTTTTTAATGTGATTGTCTTAATTCCTCGAGCATGGGAATGAAAGATAGCAGAATTACAATTTCAACCAAGTGCCTACTTTTAGATTGGTGATATTGTAGGAGTTGATTAATCACTTTCAGACCAAATCATTAAAATCAAGGAATGAAGAACTATCAAATCCAAATAGATACATCCATGCCCTGAGAACAAATGGATAAACCATATATGTATGAACACACACACATGTCTATATACACAACAGAGTTCTACATGGCATACACACTTGCTTATAAAAGTGTCAGCTAATGTGTTTATTTTCAGTGGCATGCCACTGCTCCCAAAGAGGGCTGCGGGATGACAGAGGTCCTTGGTGAGTTACCTCTGCCCTTTGTTCTGGCAGTTTCCAGAAACAGCTCCTACGCCAAGTGTGAATCATCTGTTTCTGGCACTGCAGAAGCATTTCAGCTAAGCTACATCTCAGGATCATTACTCTTCAGGCTTCACTATGGGTCATGGGAGGAAATGACATAATCCAACTCAACTCACAGAGAGTGGCAAGCGGAGGAAACTGTGGCTGCATCACGACATCTGCATATCCTTGAAAAGTCACCAAGCTTTGTGACACAGTCCCCTAGGAAAAGAATTTCTCAAAGACAAACGTGTGTGTGTGGGGTGTGTGTGGGTGTGTGTGTGTGGCTGGAATTGTGCCCTTCTGGTCTGAAACTTCTTCCACATGTTTATTGCAATAATGAATGTATAGACTACTATACATTTATTTCCACACCACACATTTATGTTTATTGCAATAATGAATGTATAGACTACTATACATTTATTTCCACACCACACATTTATGCTACCAAAATGCTGAATGTTTGGTGGCCATTTTTCATACTTTCCTTGTGGTGCAGGGGACCTTTTCATAGATACCATAATAGTAAAACGTGGGAAGGAGAAAATGGCAGTGGATAAGTGCCAGGCGGCATTGACCTATGTATTTTCCACGACAGAGCCCCACGTTCATTGGACAGTGTAACTCAGATTTACTTCCCCCGTTACTGAAAGGATGCAGGGGTTAACGTGCCACCTTTCTGCTGCTTGACGACTGAGGAGACATTGCGTTTTCCTCTCAAGTGAACTGTGTGTCGGATACTCAGGAGTCTTGCCAGCAGCCAGCAAGCTGCTACTCCCCATGAACGTGGCTCGCCCACTCCACACGGAAGAAGACTGGACTAAGTTGCCCTGGATCACTGGTGCCAAGTGAGCACTGGACATGTTTTTCCTCCTTTTGCCTCTTTCTTTTTTATATGTAATATATGACTGCCTTCCTTAGCCCTAAAAATACTCGTATTTGGAACTTTTGTCATTGTTGTGAATAAATTCTGGGACAGGAGCAACTTGAGGAGGAAGGGCTTATTTGGGCCATGGTTTGAGGGCTACAGCTATCATTTCTGGGAAGGCGTGGCAGCAGAAGCAGGTGACTCCTCCGCACATCTTGCAAGTACACTGCCGGGTCTAGCACACTTCCTCCGGAGTTACTTAGTTTGCCTTCTTTTCCTCTTCCTTCACTCAGCCATATGCTTTTAGTTCCATCCTCATGCCCAACATCTTGACTTAAGAGTAAACAAAGGTCTTCTCTTTTAGTAATCTGGCCTTGCGGTACTTGATGACTCTATAGTGTGTCTTTCAAATCGGTACCTGCCAGGCAGTGGCAGCGCACAGCTTTTATCCCAGCACTCAGGAGGCAGAGGCAGGCGGATCTTTTAGTTTGCCGCCAGCCTAGTCTATAGAGCTAGTTCCAGAACAGCCAAGGCCACACAGAGAAACCTTTTCTTGGAAAAACAAACAAAACTAAACCATTACCCCACAAAAGAGCTCCAATAATCTAAAAGTTCCCCTCCCATGGGTCCCTCATCCCCTGCAATCTCTAGTCATTTTTTCTTTTTTGGTTTTTCGAGACAGGGTTTCTCTGTATTGCTTTGGAGGCTGTCCTGGAACTCACTCTGTACACCAGGCTGGCCTGGAATTCACAGAGATCAGTCTGCCTCTGCCTCCCAAGTGCTGGGATTAAAGGCGTGTGTCACCAACACTCGGCTCTCAATTTTTCTTTTTAATCTTAAAGTTTTCCACTTCTTGTGATATAAGATCAAATTAATTATACACTTCAATATTTTTTCATTCTTCTTTTGCTTAGTATAGTTACAATTTCTTTTATTTCCTGAAACAATTAGCTCATCTTCCTTTTGCAAATAGTATTCTATTCCATCCATGAAACAGTCATTAACTTGTGATTTTTGAAACTCAAATTTGCATCAGTAAACATATGCTTGAGAGTTATAAGGCATTGACTTGGGTTGCAGATACATTTCAGTGAGCACAGAGTCTGTATATTTGGATGACAAAATTTTGCTCTGATGATTTTGGAATCCAATTCAAACAGAAGCAGCTATAAACTAGTTCTTAGAGCCTTACCTTGAAATAGGGGGTTAAAGATGCAGGTGTGTGTGTGTGTGTGTGTGTGTGTGTGTGTGTGTGTATGTAGGATGAAGGAAATCACCCTCCACACCAGGTTGACTTTATAATTCTGTCTTCTTAAATTAAGTAGCATGAATCAATAGAAGACAAGCAATAGAACTATTTACACGAATAAGTGGTTCACACAGTTGAAGTCTGAACAGCATTCAGAACTGGAGAAGGTAGGGAATTTGGGGGTGAGGAGCAACAGGCTATTGGTAATTTTAAGAGAGGAAGTAGGGTGTACTTGGTGAGTCAAGACTGTCTTGTTATGTAATTAAAGTCCTTCCAAGTGGCAACCCTCAGAAGAACAGGTGTTGCATGGTGGTAAACTCTTAGTGTTCTTGTCCTATGAGCTAATCTTTTCACAAAAAGTTTCTTGAACATATTGGTTATACATTGGACTGAGTTTCATAACATTTCCATACGTTGGAATGTGTTTTGGTCGCATCTACCGCTCATTTTCCTCCCTCATCCTCCTCCCCATCCATTGATCCTTCCCTCTTTCCAGCCAATTCCCCTCTTCTTTCAGTGTGTGTGTGTGCGCGTGTTTGTGTGTGTGTGTGTGTGTGTGTGTGTGTGTGTGCGGGGAATATTATTTTCAGATGTGTGACTGTTGTTTATGCTGTATTTGTTTAACTCTGTGAAGCTGCGTTGCTGTGCCTGTC